AGCACTGGGAGGTTATTGCCGGTTCAGCAGCCTTGAGGCGTGCACAAGTTTGAATCCTGATAAATCCGCACCAAGTTGGGATCAGAATCCATTAAGAGTAAAAGCAGTAATTAGTTTAGTATTCTGGTGCTGAGGCAGGCTTCAATGGAGGAGTTGACAGCAGGACGCAGATTTACCTGCGCTGTCACATTTAGAGCCCGCTGGCACCTCCTTCCTGTCAGGGTCAACACAGGGGGAAACAGGGGGAGGAGGAGGTGGTGATGGAGGGAGGGGGTTCACAGGAACACAAACGGAAATGCGTGTAACACCCCGAGTGGTAAGTGACTATAAAACACAACGGTGTCGTAGGGGAGCGAAAGCTCTGCCCGGTGCCACCAAAACCTCCTGCCAAATATTCACACGTGTGTGTATGTGTGTGTGCCAGCGGAAGCAGTTTGTCCGATTTGTGTGGTGGGAGGGAAACCTAGCACCGGTGATGGATGACATGGTCGATAACACCCCCTGCCCTTATATGCTCCTACACACACACACACACACACACACACATATATACTGCAGAGTGTTTGTGTCTTGCAGAAAAGAGAGATCAGAATAGACTTAAACAGACTAAGAGCAACGGTTTGTTTCAGAGATTTGTAAGGTCTTTATGTGAATGAATAAAATAGAGAGCTCCATCATCCCCTCAGACTAAGTCAGAAAACAGCTCATTGCTTCAGTTCAACTCAACTCCTGCTTTGGACTATAGGGGTGGTGAGGGACATCCAGTTACATAAGGAAACAGTTCCACGCTTTTAAAACCTGACAGTCCATAATTATAATTATTATTGTCATTATTATTAGTCAATTTATTGAACATGTTAAGAAAATACAAACACAAAATAATAAAAAATAACTCAAATAATATAGTTCATGTTCAAAAGGGATAGGAAGAAGTTAAAAACTTTTCTGGTCCTACCCCTTCTTATTATGTGTGCATTATTCATGGTAAAATACAAATGTTTTCATCAATCAGTGTATTATGTTGGACTTGTTAGCCAAAACAAATTAAGTTTTTAGACAAAACAACAACAAAAATAATGGGAACAGATTAACCAAGACCATCAGCCAAGAAATAACCAAATAGAAAACAGAAAAACAGAAAGTCACTGCTCCAGCTCATATCTAATCAATATTAGATATGAAAAAATAGTTTTTTTAGTTTAAATATAGTGTTGCATTTTTTCAGCTCGTTAACGTTTAAGTGTATCGATACTGCTGTCGAGTATCGTGAGTCCTGAAATGTAACCTTATATCTCGAATCAAGTCAGACTACTGAAGCACATTTGACTGTCTTTGGGTTGAAAAACCTCTGGTGGTAAAAATACTATTAGGCAAAGGGTATTAAAATGTGATAATGATGTGTTCCATTGTAACGCAAAAGTAAAAGAAATACAATTTGTTTGGAGGAGAAATTAGTTTTTCCCTAGAAATACAACCTAGGTATACCAGTTTTGTTAAAAACATATTGTCGTTGCATATTTCCACCACATAATGGTAAAGTATTGATAGAGGTATTGTAATCAGGTCTCAATAAAAATGATCGATTTCAACCAGCAACACCAAAGAATATGTTTCAATCTGAAGACAGTGAACCCATGATTTCATTTATGTTGTTGCTTAATAAAAGAAAAACATTGTTCCAATAATTGTACCTAAACTGTAAATACCCTGCTGGTGAAATCGAGAACTTTAAACATGAGTTGGTCACACGTCTAGACTGCAGCACGGCCGATACAGCCCATCATCAAAACACACTTTTAATCTGAATATGTGAGACTGTATGTTGTTATGAGAAGTGTTATGGTTTCCAATTGTTGTGTGGTAGTGTAGAAATATTGACCTATCACCTATCAATCAGTAGTGACCTGAAGGGTTTATTTATCTCTACAAACAGACATCTGCATGCAAATGCAGCTACCAATCTTCTATGTCAAAAACATTAACTCATCACTAAGGCCAATTAGCATTCAGATTTCCAGACTTCCTTGAATGCATCAGAAATGATCGCCCCAGCCCCCACTGAAAAAAAAAACATTGACTTTTTACATAACTGCATGATGTCACTTTAAGACCCAATTGGTGAAATTAAATCACAAGCAAGTTGGAGTGAAGCCTCTGTGTAACCTACTATTTAGAGACTCCCCAGAAACAGATGAATGAGCGCTCCTCTAGAGGATGTAATGAACCAAGAATTTATGATGTTTACGTGGCAGACATCTGAAGGGGAGAATTTCGCTTCACTTTTATCTGAACTCTTCTCAAGTTCCTATATGGGAAGCAAAAAAAAAAGCAGCACACATTAAAAGAAGTCCTGGCAGGAAGTTGTTAAATGCAAACAGCTGGCTGTTTGTAACACTAATGGGATTAGGAGCTTAGTGAAATAAGCATCTGGCACACTTGGGAAATTTTAAAATGAACAATGCATTCTTGATATCAGAATTTTTCTTGCCTAGTGCAGCGAAAAGGGTTGAATGTAACTTCCAAACTGTCTCTAAACCATCAAGGAGTCTGAGTCACTTTCTGCAATAGCTGCAGGCCTTTTCTTTTTTCTTGTAGCCTTTTTGCGGCCGTGCACCTGAAGTGTTATGACATACTTTTCAATGTTTGTTTATTGCATACATACGCCCGTATGTTAATGTGACAGTATTTGACTCCCCCTTCAGACCAGGAAGTTAAATAGATTTTGTGTCCAGGTAATAAGGCGCCTATCTGAAATGAAGTTTAAACCATCAAAACATGATAAATCATTCAGCGCATGGTAAATATTGCAGCATAAGTAACATATACTGTATATAACCCCCCTTTAAATGAAGGCAGTGTGCTTTATGCTTCAAAGCTCTGCTCATACTGTTGAGTCTAAACTGAAATCTAAAGGCATCCTCCTATAGGCTCTGAATCGCGCTTTTCCTTAAAGGGAACGTTAATAATGTCACCACCCCCTCCCTGCTGAGCTGTACATGTTTTACTCTTAAATAATGGTTATAAAAGCGTTGGCTGACTGGATGGTCGTTATGGAACATTGTTTTTCAGTCACATTTGGGTGTAAATGGAGGCAAGATAAGTAGACGCAAAGTCTTTCTTTCGCTGACTCACACGTCTCGCTGTATTTACCTCCCACTTGTAAAGCCTGCACTTGAGAGCCTGGAGAGCCACTTACCCTCGCCCGGATTGGCTCACTTGGAGTCGGTCCAGCTCTTGTTATGGTGGCACTCACAAACAGGCAGAAATGAGGGTCAGTGTTGAAGGTCAATGGAGTGCACAAAAACAGGGAAACAGGAAGAAGCAGGACTTGTTTGGACAGGAAAGGTGATCTTTTGATTTGTCTTCTGTGTGCTGACGGGAGGAATGTGGTGCCAGTGTGACAACAGATCTTAAACTTAAATATGATGAGCCAGCAGAATACATGTAGTCTATTTAAACTGGGCCCGACCGATACCGGTATACACTGACACCACATTCCTCCTATGTCTTTCTTTAGATCTAAGTTCAATCTGTAGAGATAGATAGTTATAGATACACACATGTATTTCTTTGATCACTTAAATGTAGGGATCAAACACTGGTAGAAAAGATAGACAGTGTAACGTAGACAAGATGGTCACTGAACTGTAAAGTAACTATGCATGTATGTGCATCAGCGCCTTACACTCTGAGGAGGGATAATGCTTGATGTAATCCATGTAGGACACTCTGCTGGTGAAAGAGAACTGCTAGTGTAAGGGAAATGCTATTCGACTGGTGAATAAATCTAGTAATATCGGCACATATCTGCAATAAAAGTAGCTGGTACCCACTGGATATGCTAATATCAGCCAATAGTTGTGTATTTGTGTGAGGTCCTGTTTGTTACTGATTTAAAACCCCATTATGTCTTTGTATATCCATGTATATTTCCACCTACAGCCCTTCTTTGAAGAGGGGTTAGGAAGCCTATTGATGGCGGTCCCCAAATGTAAACCCTGACTCCGACTAACGTCCAGCTAATCAAGAAGCAGGCAAAGTGGGGGGGGGGCATACTTTACCTCCTGGCAAACAGCTACAAAGCACCCACCTGTAAGTCAGTCATGCCCCTTATTATGCCTAATGATGAGAAGCTCCTAGTCTAAATATCCTCCAAACAGATGTTTTATAAAAACATCGCTATTGACACCGAGCTGTAAACATGCTTACGTCTGCTGTCAAAGTGGGCACTGGAGGGACTGCAGTTTTATTTGCACATTGGCTTCATTATGCAATGCTGGAGGTTGCTGCTTAATCAAAAGCAGTAGTTTGAAATGAAATTGACAATATAGATTTTCTCTATCAAACAAACAACTGTTTCTCACTTTCTGTGAAGCAGAGACAAACACAAACAAACCATTTCTAAGACCATGGCTAAGAAAGATTTAATTTGGTTCAGTCCCGTCTGATGATAAAAACATTTAATACAGTCAATATTAAGTCTAAAACTAATGCTGTGTGTTGAGCTCTTCTCCTGACACAGCCTGAGGATGTTTGAGGAGTAGAAAGGATATAGCCTTGCATGCTCTTCTGTACAATTATAATCGTATCTGGACTGCTTGTACCAAAGCGAGCGCAAACTAGACGGGCTTGTTAAACTGGGAGACAGGATAACTGAGGGTCCATTGTGCAGTTTTACTGACATGACGGACCAGTTAATCATGAATTAAGCTCACAAGATCATAGCTGACCCACTGCGCCCGCTTTGGTCTGAATATGTATGAATGCTGAAATGCCCTTAACTTTGTTCTCAGTTTTCTTGCAAACTTTCTGAAGTGATGCTTCTGAGCTGTTTGTTGTAAAGTTTATGTTTCTTCTAAATGATGTGCTGATGAGTTACATAGTTTGTAATGCTTTTTGTCTAGAGTTCCAATAAGGCACTAATGGTTTCATTAATTACTTAATGTATTTAATCCTCTGATATCAGTTAATATTCATTTCCTGTTTGTGTGCTCTTTCAGTGTTCTTGACCTGGGTCAACTGTTCCAGTGTGCGCTGGGCAACGAGGATACAAGATGTTTTCACTGTAGGAAAACTCCTCGCTTTGGTCCTGATCATAGTGGTCGGACTCGTCCAAATCTGTAGAGGTAATCTTGCACACACACACACACACACACACACACACACACACACACACACAAGATGAGTCATGCTGATACCCACCAGATACAGCCTACTCATATATCCAACACCTAACTCTAGGAAAGGTTTACTATCAGAGTTGTCAGCACACACGGCTGCTGCTTTACTCTGTAACTTCTACTGCTTACATTTAGGGTTAGACAGGGAGCCAAATGTGTCAAATGCCAGACAAGAAGATCTCTTACAAACATGAATATTGTTATAACACTATACACACACACACACACACACACACACACACACACACACACACACACACACACACAATGTGGCCTGCTATTTGCGTCATGAAAAAAGACACAACTGAATCGAAACAACAAAGTCTCATTTCAGTACAGCAAAGCACTTGATTTGTTTGTGTGAATAATACATGTAATAATAACAATAATAATAGTCATAGCAACAATGAACCATCACAATCAAACTATTTTTTTTAAAGACTCTTAACTAGAATCAGTCTGATGACTGCATATGGAAACCCTGCACATTGCACCACTGGTCCCTAAAGTATCTCACAAATAGAATAAAAGTGCCTGAAGGGAATATGAAAATAAATGTAAAATCAAGCCAAATCATCGAGCAAAGAACAATTATATTTCACTTTTATGAATGCATGTGACCACTAAAAGGTCATTGATTGATTGGATTGAGAAAACAGATTTTCTCCTCGTTTTCCTTCATTGACAACACAGAGTCACATGTTTGAACATGTGTTTGTATGTGCAGCTGCGTGCAGATGTACAGACACTCCAGATATGAATACCTTAAAACCCTCTTGAGAAGTGACACTACCGTTAGCAAAAAATACCACACAATTCATTCCCATTGCAGAAGTAACGGTGTTAAACTATGAGACAGCAGTACACTGGTGTCTGAGTTTTTTTTGTTTGTTTTTTAAGAAATTTGCATCCAGTTTGTACAGACCGTCACAATAGAGTGTATTCACTGACACAATTTGACCAACATTAAAAGGTGATAACCTAAGTCTCTCATCATACTGGGTACCCCACTGAAACCTTCCTCCCTCCTCCTTCAGGTCACTACGACGCCCTGCGGCCCAGCACGGCCTTTGAGTTCAGTCAGGACCCCTCAGTGGGACAGATCGCGCTGGCCTTCCTGCAGGCCTCTTTCGCCTACAGCGGATGGAACTTCCTCAACTACGTGACAGAGGAGATCGTGGAGCCAAGGAAGTACGGCGTGCACAACACACAGATTCATTTACGATATATGAGCTGACAATAGTTTTTTAATCTCTGGTTGTTTTATTTCTGAATCTCTCACCATTGTTGTGTGGATTTGAACTAGTTAGTCATTTTAGTTGTATACTATCTGTTTTTTATTGTTATACTATACTTATCACTATTATTCCATACTTAATATCCCTGCATCTTTTTAATTTATACTGCAATAATCACCATATTGACTTGGAGATGTTCTGATACAGTTAAGGCTCCATAAGAGTATCTGTGTAGTTCTCAGTCATGTGTACTTCTACCGTGGGACATAGTGTTCAGTTCAGCCATTTAACTTGAAATCTACAATACTATTGGTTGAATTTTATGGTTGATTGGTTATTTTAATAATATCTTAAAAAACCCACAAGCACTCAAGTTGGGTGACTCTGGATCACCCGCATATAAAACTGAATTGTTGTTCTAACTCATTTCTATATTTTCTTAAGGAACCTTCCCCGTGCCATCTACATTTCCATCCCACTGGTGACCCTTGTCTACACCATGACCAACATCGCCTACTTCTCCTCCATGACTCCTGAGGAGCTGCTCGCCTCCAACGCAGTGGCTGTGGTGAGCAAATGAATGTTTTCAAAATGGGGACATGAAGCAGTTTTTGATGTGTAGAGAGAGGTGTCTGGAAACATGTACTGTCTGAGACTGTAAGAGAATCAGAGGCAAGGCAACAACACGGTGATTAAAAGTGCTTATCTCAACAATTAAAACTGAAATACAAGATAAAATAGAACCAAGAGACTCAGCAGACCTGCAGTTTTCAGAGAGTTTGTTCTACACATGGAGCATACAAATTGAACACTGTTTATACACGTTTGGATCTGACTCAATGGACAGACAGCTGACCCTGTCCCAGACGACCTGATTGGTCTGGATGGTTTGTACTGTAACAGAAGGTTAGTGCGAGTCATAGCATGAGACAGACCACAACCAACCAATTAATCAATCAGTCAAGATTAAGGAGACACTACAAAACAGTCATGAGTTTAGTTTGTGACTAGTTTCCTATGACGGGTTTAAATCAAAAACGGTTTCCGCCCTTGCTATCATAACTGAGTAAGGCTTGCATGTAATCAAAAAAAAAGGAAATAAATACCTAATAGATATCTATAAAATTGTATTTCACAATGCAACTAGTTTGTGGTGATTAATTGCAGCTTTTAAGCTCACAAACTAGTAGAATGAGGTTGTTTTAGAAAGCACTTTATATATGGTGAATGGTCTGGTATTATCTCCACATATAATCAGGCTGTAGTAACCGATGTCTACTTTGTACAATCTAAATAATGTTTAGATTGTCTGATTCATGTACCGTCATCAGTGACTGGGGCACCTGCCTAACTGATGTCCAATGATCTATGCTGCTGTCACAGTCAACTTAAGATGCTGAGTTGCTACTGCAGTAATGGCGACCGCTCTGGATGGCTGAACACAAATTGGTCAACAGATTTGTTTGTATGTAGTATTTAAAAATGAAAATCCCCCTTAATAGAATAATCAAAAGTACAAGTACCGTATTTTCCGCACTATAAGGCGCACCGGATTATAAGGCGCACCTTCAATGAATGGCCTATTTTAGAACTGTTTTCATATATAGGGCGCACCGGATTATAAGGCGCATAGAATAGAACGTGTTTACAACTGAACAAGGCTGGGAGATATTGTGAATATATAAATATAAATACGTATAAAACGTAACGTATAAAACTACAAAAACAAAAGTACATAAGACGATTTCCCCAAATAATAAATTATTTCTTTGACGTTTCTCTTAACTCTCAAAACGTAGTTTTATACGTAGTGCATTCACAATAACTCAACGTTGTTCAAACGTTAATGTGCATATTCACAATATCTCCCAGCCTTGTTCAGTTGTAAACACGTAAAAGAAACACAGTCTGATACCGCTAATTCAAACGTTAGTGCAGGGGTGCCCAAACAGTCGATCGCGATCGACAGGTAGATCGCTGACTGATTCTCAGTCGATCGAGATGTTTTGTCAATATAAAATACAATTGTAAAATAGAAAAGTGATTTCAATTTCATCTCATTGCACTGTTTCCCACACACGATACCTGTGTTGGGAGCCCAAGTATACTTCCGACCTGTGTGTATTTAATTTTTCATTTATTCATGAAATTGCTGCGTGCATGAGAGAGCGAGCGGGAGAGAGAGAGAGAGAGAGAGAGAGAGAGAGAGAGAGAGCGCGCGCAAGAGAGTGCAGGTATGCGCAATGACGTGCAGGTAAAACCGGGGGGGGTAAATGTTTTACCAAAAAGTCATATATAGTAACTATGCTATGAGTATTAAGCGCATTTGATGAAGCTGCAGCTACTTTTCTCTGCTCCTCTCTGCTGTCATGACTGTGAGCATCGCGGGGGACGAGACACACCAACAAACAGCGCAAACGCACACACACACACACACACACACACACACACACACACACACACACACACACACACACACACACACACACACACACTTGCACTGGAGCGCCAGCCACCACGCGAACCTTTTTACTTTTTACTTTTAGTGCTACAGCACACAGTTGATCCGTGATCCGTACGGACCGAGGTGGGAACACACGTGACCCGGTCAAACAGTCGGTTGGACTTTACTCCGTTCACTCTCACCGTGTCTGCAGCTAATTTAACAAAAGCAACATCATCTCACAGCAGCCTGCTGTAGTCTGTAGTCTGCATTATTTTTTACAGAACTCTCATTTATTATTTTCTGTTTGTTGTGTGAGTATTAAATGCGTTTGTAGGCTGTTGGTAAAGGCTATGGCTCACTATGTGGACTGGTAGATCTCGGCAGACTGGTAACTTTAAAAGTAGATCTTGGTTCAAAAAAGGTTGGGCACCCCTGCGTTAGTGCATAACTCAACATTGTTCAGTTACGTATAACACGTAAAGCTCACTTTTTCAGTTCATTCCCCGTCCACGAATCCCTCGAATTCTTCTTCAGTGTCCGAATTGAACAGTTGGGCGAGTACGACATCCAACATGCCCGGCTCCCTCTCGTCATTATCCGAGTCAGTGTCGCTGATCGCCGTGTACAACCAGTATGGATCAACCAATTAACCAATTGATCCATATATAAGGCGCTCTGTCGTTTTTTGAGAAAATTAAAGGCTTTTAAGTGCGCCTTATAGTGCGGAAAATACGGTATGTCATGAAAACCCACTTTAAATATGCAGAGTCCAATATGAAGTTTTAAAAACTAATTATTGAAGCATTACTTCTGGGAAGTTAATGAATCTATCAATAAGTTTATCACTCAATGAAAGTCATTAATGTGATCCGTCAGATGTTTTGTTGTTCCAGACATTCGGGGAAAAGCTGCTGGGGATGTTTTCCTGGGTGATGCCCATCTCTGTAGCTCTCTCCACTTTTGGAGGAATCAACGGATATCTGTTCACTTCCTCCAGGTAAATCAAACTTTCATTGAACTGCAACACCTGCCTAACTTCACCTAAGAGTTACTACCCACATGTGTAAAGCTGACAATCCATTTATACAAGTGTGTTTGTGTTTGTAGATTATGTTTCTCTGGGGCAAGAGAGGGTCACCTGCCCTACCTGCTGGCCATGATACACCTAAAAAACTGCACTCCAATCCCAGCCCTGCTGGTCTGCGTGAGTACTGCACTGTTTTCTCATCTATGGAAAGCTCATTGAACACATGGAAAAACAAAGTCACAACCTCAGGATTTGAAGAAATTAAGCCATGCAGAAGTTAAAAAACCTGCAGTTCTCTTGAGTAACCACTTGTAGTCCCATAAAACATTGACAGCTTAATTACAGCTTTGTTCTCTGTAGCTCATTTCTTTATTAGTAAGAACTAGTGTGGCATTTTTTTATATAGCATATCTGTTTGGATTATATTAAGGATGAGAGTTTTGCACAAATTTTCATAATTAGGGGATGAGCTCAATGTAGTTTAAGAATTAAAGAGGACCCGCCTCAGCTCCGACTCTTTGTCTTTTACTAGATGGACAGAATTACAAATATGGAAACCGCCATGGTTGGGCTTCTAAACGCCTCTTTAGAAACCAATGGGTGACATAAGTGTGACTATGTCCATGTTTTTGTACAGTCTATGGTAATTAAGAAGTCGACATAGTCACCCTGTAATCACTTTTTTTCTTAAGCCTCAGGTTCATCCTGCATGACGGCTGCTTTGGTAGAAACTATTCAATCAAAGTTCAGCACATCCCGCTCTAGGAACTATTTTATTGTAAAAGGATCATAATTTACAAAACGAACATCATACCGTTTTGGAGATTAATTTACGACCATAAAGCTCATGAGGAAAATGTAAACTGAGGTTATAAATGAAGTGAGGAGTAGGCTCCTTTTCTCTTCTTGTTTATTTGATCTATTATCAGCCCCCCCCCCCCACCTGCTGGCCATTTAAAATAATGCAGGTTACAAAACTTAGAGGTTACATTCACATGGTTTATGCAGTCTATGGTCAAGATTCACAAACACACAAAATTTAAAATAAGAAGAAAGTATTCGTAATCAAAATCATTTTGTATGTGGCAACAATTTCTGCTATATGTAACATGCGTTTGACCTTTGACCCTACCTTCATGTGTCACAGTGCTTTGCCACCATCATCATCCTGTGCATCGGAGAGACACACAACCTGATCAACTATGTGTCATTTATCAACTATTTGTCATATGGGGTAACCATTGCCAGCCTCCTCTACCTCCGCAAGAAGAGACCGAACCTTGCCAGACCCATCAAGGTACAGAAACCTAAGAACCAAAGATCCACTGCAGGAACAACCTTCAGGAAAAGGTTTAGCACCTGCAGCCAACAAGTGATACATGCCGGTCATAGCCAAACTGAAACAAGCAGGATGAGTCTCCAGGGGAAAAGCAGTTGTAATTTAGCTATCTTTATAAGTACTAATGGTAATCCTGCCACGTGGTGACAGTAATGTTGTGATTGGTTGAGCAGGGAGGACAGTTCCCACTGAGAGAAAGGCCACTACACTGAAAACATTGGATGGATTTATGGGGAGAAGAACACTGTGTCCAAGAATAATTATCATTAAAATGATCATATTTAAATATTATTTAGTATTGAAGGGCTGCATGCCAACTTTAGCCACTGCTAATATAAAACCCCCAAACTTCAAAATCGTATTTTTCTTCCAAAGAAACAAAACTTTTACGTCTTTGTCCAAACAAAGAACAGACAGATACATGTAACTATGTTTCACTTGTCCCCTTAGACAATCAGACATCAGTCTGAAAAAACAAACATTACCTCAGAGGATATTTGATGGAGCATGGCTGAGGATGTCAGTCAGCATGGACGTACATGGATAATAATTTGGCACCCCCTAGTGTCAGAAATGCAAAGTACATGCTGTTAGTGTGTAACAGAATTAATGCAATCCTTTCATTTGTCAAATCAATTCAAATATTCACAGTCATTAATATTAAATATTTTAAGTCATGAAAATGAATGATAGATACATGATAGATAAATGTAACATGATTATTTCATGATATGTAACCCTTCATATGTGATGGCTGGAGAGACAGACAGCACCATCTGCTGGGCAATCGCAAGAAGTACAAATATAAACCTGTGCTTAACTAAACTTCATTTTATCTAAGAAGTGTATTTAATCTTCTAAATTTACCACGTGTAGGCTGAATTTCAAAACATGTATTAACACTGTTTAAATATTGCTCTCAAGCTCCAGTGTTTTTAAATTTCATTTTTATATTACAGCACATACTTATATTGAATCGTTATATTCAAAATGTTAAATTGAAATGTATTGCAACATTCAAGCAAATACATTAAATATCAACACGTTTATTATAAAGATATATTTTTTTTTAAAGTTAGCATTGTGTTAAGTAGTATAAAGTCCTTATTTATGTTGGTTTCTTCATCCATTCACAACCATGCTCCTTACAACCTACAGTAATTTCAGTTCCTTTTTCTTGACATATTCCTCAACTATGCATTATGTATTCGTCGGTGTCTTGCTGGCTTCAGTAGGATTATGGAAGGTGTCAGGATTTGTAAAAACTAGTCATTTGGTGCTCTCCGAAGTAACAAGCTGAACTTTGACGGTAACACGGCCTCCAACACAACCAGGACCACCTAATACTACAGGACAGTATGAGCATGGTGAATAATACTAAATGTGTAATACTACTCATCGTTCAGTAACATCCCATGGGCAATATTTATATTAAATATTCTTTACAATAATAATATTGTAAGGTGCAGGTATAGCCAAAGCTCCTTTAAATGGAGATACAAACTTTGCCGTGCAATGACAAAAAGAGCGTTTTCATCTGTTCCACACTCCTCTCAATTCAGGTGCAACAAAATGAGAAAAAAGAAAATGAGAAAAAACAAGCAATCCTCAGGATTATGTTTGATCATGTGTGTTTCTGTTCTGCGCAGGTAAACCTGTTGATCCCCATCGCCTACATGGTATTTTGGGCAGTGCTGCTGGGCTTCAGTTTGTATTCTGAACCAGTGGTTTGTGGCCTGGGAATGGTCATCATGCTGACTGGAGTCCCGGTATACTTTGCGGGTGTTTGGTGGAAGGACAAACCCAAATGGGTCTACAGGATAGTCGGTGAGCTGGTCTTTGGAAACTGTACAAAACACAAAGAATCTTTAATAGGAAAAAGTCATATATTAAGAGTATGTCCCTCCTGTTGTGTTCTGTGTTGCAGAAAAAGTCACATACGTCGGCCAGAAGGTGTGTTATGTGGTGTTTCCTCAGCAAGACCCTTCAGAGATGGAACCCCTCACTGCCTCCAAAGCCACTGATTGATCAGTGCAGCCAACCAGGACTTCCACTTTTACATCAACATCTGTACTTCCAGTTTTTTGTGTCATAGAGTTTCACATTGTTTGGTCAGTTTTTGAACGGTTGAGGGATGGTTTTCGTCCGTGCTCCTGCACAGTGCAAAAGAAAAAGATGGTTATACTTGGGGGCATTAGTTTGTTACGCCCTAAAACTGCGCCATGTGTTTTTATTTTATTTGTTGGTTTGATCGTACCTTCTTTTCATTGTCTTTATCTGTGTGCCAACGTTTTCTTTCCATCTTTATCTTGTGTTCTGCTCACTCAAGGAACCTGTCTTGTGCTCTATTTCCAAGATGTGCTTCTTTTATAATTGAACTAAATCCTTGACCTAATGTGCCTTATGAGATGTATATGTTGGTTTAGTGTATTGGTTTGTGCGGGTATTTTGATGGTGTAATAACTTGTATGAGGTCAATATGCAAGCAGACTCTGCAATTAGCAATACTTGTCTATTACTGCTGCTGCTTTCAGCTCTGTTTCATTAACCTGATGTTTACCGTTGAGGATGAATATCTCTGTGCATCTCTGCCTGGCTACAGTATCTGTTCTTTCTTTCGGGTTTGCAGCCCCTGCTCTATTTGTCCTTTTGATTGCTCTATCACCACTCTCTCCAATGAGAAACTGTAGGTGCCTTCCTGTCACCCTTACAGGGATTATCTACAGAACAGCAGCAATACCAGCATTATGCACAGCACAGGAGACACAAGACGATGACGGGAAGTTTGTGGCTGTTTGGAATCGGCTGACATTCTCAGAAATATATAAGCTGCATGATTATGACACGTTGACCGAAGGTTCTTCAGGTTTTATATGTTCACCCGTCTCTCTGTCATTGATTTGAGATTTGGGTATGTTCTCATCTTTGGGAGTGACACTGTGAACTCTTTCAAGGTGCTTGCATCCTAAGACAGTCACTAGATTTCTCACCTGATGTCATGCTAGGGAAAATATCATTGCCGGTTTGATTGATAATATCTACAGAATCCACATTGATACATAGAAGGATGGCTGGCTGTGGGCCGGCTGTGGCACTTGTGCTTCAGCCTTCTGTCTTTCTAAAGACAAAAATCCACTACGATTACCCACAATGGCCAACCGACTTATTCAACTGACGACTTTTAAAATATTGACATCATATAGTTGAACTAAGAATAGTCCAATTGACACACTGTGGACTTTCTGTGCTCTAAGATATCAGCTCAGTTCTGTCAGCATCTGAATGTTCCCAAATTATAATAGTTCAAAAGATGTCTTCACAGAAGTTGTGGTACTATTACCTTAACACAGTATGTTTAATAACTGTGGTCAAGAGACTTCAATGTTTACATGTATTTGGGAAATTTCTCTTATCGCACTTGTCTGAGCTGTTTATGTTGTAAGAGAACATATGAAGGTGTCGGCCAGAGGCCTTTTTAACGTGATGAAAAACCAGCATGTTGAAGCTCCCATTCATCATTTTGTCCTGCAGGCCAGCAGATACTGGGAATTTCCAACATGATCATATCCACGAAAGGAAACGCACACTTCCAACAGTATATATGACTATCTGCCATGTCCAGGAGCTGTTAGCTCAGTTGAAATCTGTAAATACTATGTAAACTGTTACAGGTGCACCAGACTCCTACAAAGACCACATTCCTCAGACATGTTACATACTGTACAATTGATGGGTGTACCTCTGTTTTGTAAAAGAGTGTCAAGATGTAAATTCATAACAATGTAATTGCTTATTAAATATAGCAACTTTAAAAGAATCGTTGTATTATTATATACAGTAAGTTGGTGTTACATTTATTAAGCCTGTTTCAGGTGAAAAACGGTCAATTCAGTGTTGCGTAATGCTAACATGCTAAGCTAGCCTGTGTAAATGAAGTGGAAGTAGCCTCTTGACTTAAAAAGAAGACAATGTGGGAGAGCTCGTCGATTTAATGGCTAGTACATTTTAAACATTTTGAGATATGCTGAGAAGTGCAATACAACATATTGCGATTAAACTTTTTTAACTGCATGTCCACAAAGAAACTAAATGAAGAACTGTTTTGTCACTTTCTACACAATGGGAGTCGAGCCCGCAGACTGAGCAACACTGTGATAAAAGTAAAACCCTGTAAAAGGCTGCTTGTATCTCACAATCTGAACTGTTGGTATTTCAGTCTAATTGAATTTAACTGGACACAAATGTGTGTGGACGACGAAAAATCAAGAAAGCATATTTGCTGTTAATATAATTAAATTATTGATACTTTCCAGCCATGAGATGAAATAGTATCGGCATGCAAAATATCGCGATACTACGCTGTATCGATTTTTTCCCCCACCTTTAATGGCTTGCAACACATTTCCGTCAGTAGTAACAAGTAACAAGTAAAAACAATGACAGCCACAATTAGTTGATTGGTTTATTTTGACAATTATGTGAAGTAATGAGTTAAAAAGAATAAACAAGTCAAGTTTTCTTCAATAAAGCTTTATTATTGAGTTGAAATATTGATTTATCACGAAATACAATATGGATTCAGGAAATCTTGAGCTTGATTATTTTGTTGCCAAAAAGTAAGACATGCTTTAAGTGGTTTTAAGCCTAATTACAGTTGTACTATTTAAAACCCTCTGAGGTGATGCTGTTGTAAACAACATCAAATCAATGTTCAGAGACTATCCGGATCCAATTCTCCTCAAAACGAAGGTAATCCGTGATGATTTATGTATACATTTGAGTGAAATAGTGTAAATTATGTTAGATCACTCAGCTAACGCGGACGTTGCCATCTTGTTTTTGTGTGTTGACCAATCAGAGGCGTCTCTTCGATCAGCTGACCTGTGAAGACCAATGAGAAGCAAAGCAGCATTAAATAGACGTCACAGCCTGCCCTCAGCACGGAGATACAAACGATAAAATGTATTTGAATTGATTTATCCTAATCATCTTATTCTAGTACCAGAAGAACTGTGCTCCTTTTAAAATACAGCTCTAAATAGTGTGTAGTCAGTCTGTCCTTTGAGCACTTCAGATAGCTTGGTGCACGCATTATTATTTTTTTTAATTTGATTTATTATAATTTTTTTCATAGTACAAAAAATGTAATAACCATTTTTTAACCATAAAAATGTCTGTAAAGCATTGAAGAAACGAAAACATACAACTTGTCACAACGTAAATGTTTAAAACAAGATTCCCTGGGTAATGAGAAGGAAAAAAAAGCAGTGCTTAATCTTCAGTCTATGAATCTACTCAATAAAATGCCCCACAATGTAGAAACCTCACAAGTACAAAAAGATGTGAAAATGGAAAAAAGAGCCATTAAGATTAAGATTATAAACAAAGGCTTTTTATTTCTTTGCTGATCTTCTTCTGCGGGTTTTTATCTGAGTCTCAGCTTGAACACTCTCCTCCTTGCTTGTGGACTCAGCTTCATCCGAGGTTATGTTGACGACCTTTGCCCCTCGCCTGGCTCTCTTGGCGGGCTGAGCTTCGACTGCTGCATCTAGTATGCACTAGGCAAATCATGGATATAGTTGTAATTAGTTTTTTTACACTTTTTATTTGATTGTGTGTTCATTTTTTATAGTAGGCTAGTTCCCTGTCCAACAAAAGCCACAAATACGCACTTCTAAAGCACTTGTTTTACATTTAATTTCAACATCTGTCAAATTTTATTTTCACTTAAATATTTATTTTGTATTTATGGTGTAATTATTATTTCGGACTTCATCTGACGTCCTTTGGGAAAGAGGAAAAGATGTGTGTTGTACATTGACTTTACATTTTTCCACGTAGGCCTAATGACAGCACAGTTATGTTACCTGTTAGCTTAGGCACATGAACTTCAGAGCTTCCTGTATTTTTACATTTTATTCTTTGTTTATAAAAGAATAATGTAACGATAAAATACATTTTAGAGTCTTATGGTTCTAAACCAACACAAATAATGCACACAACTTTTTAACCAATATCAGAAGGCATTTTAATTATTTATCAGGGTTTTTCTGTCATCCATGCATATTTTTGACGTGACCCAAAAGTCAAAATCAAATTGAATTATTGGGTCCTAGACCTAGACAATACCAAGCCCTAATAATTAGTGAAAATCTGTCCAAATGATTTGAAAATTCACCAGAAAACAGGAATGCTTGAGGTGCTATGCTTATGAAATTGCTAAATGGTGACTTCCAAGTGCAAAAAATTAAATGTCAACAGCAAAAATGACAATCTCGAAGCGTGCATGCTCATACAATCTAAAGTGCTAAAACAGTAAAGGAAGCCGGTGAACATGGGGAACAATTTGGTGTCATAAAACATATGCTGATGGTAAGATTAAGCTTAAAAGAAGTTATCTTCCCAAATTTGACCTACCAGAGCATGTATATATTTAGCATTTAGCCTAAATAACTGCTCTGCCCCCAGTTAACCATCATTTGCAGTGAGCATGGCTGTAGACTTGGTCCAAAGGTTGATAATTACTACAAAATAAGTAGTGTCAACATACTAACAGAACATTAAATGCTTTATATGTGATTTTTCACACTTAAATGTAAGTAAGTAAATCCTCTGAAAATAACTCTGTGAGTCATGACTGTCTACAATGGGTGTAACACCCGAGTCCCACTGTCTGTGATGTTTTCAGAGTTTTCAGAGTCCTATCTTCACTTTGTTTACATCGTTGGGACGGCCGGCTGACTCCTCCCCTCACGTATAAAAGTTGATTAATTGAGGGACTAGAGAAAAGAAGAATAACATACTGTACTCACTGCTTAACTGTGTTTCTAGATCACGCTCATTTCAGGTAAATTTACATGCAGTGTGAAGATACGAGCATAATAAAGATCACTAGCATTAGCATGCTAACACAACAATGCACCGCAAGTTGTTTTGGTTTCATGCTGGTGCTCAAGGGCGACGTCTGCTGGATCAAAAATCACATATAAAGCCTTTAAAACACTGAGTGAATAAATGGCTTGGAACCAGATTTACTTACAAACTCAATGAGCTCAACGTTAGCATGAATATAGCATTAGCATAAAGCAAGCGCTTTACCTCCAGCCTGCCTAACAGAGCCGATAGCATGTTAGCATTCTCAAATATAACTACTGTGAGGCGCCCCAAATGAAACACAGAGCAGTTAGCATGGCCGTAGACCAGATGCAAAGGTGGATAATGACTACGAAATAAATTAAAAAAAACAACCTGAAATGCAAAAGCCTAACTTCTGACAAAGAATCAAGTTTAAGCAGAAATAACAATTCTTAACAAAATGATAAAGACCTTGAATTTTATTAACTGCAGGCACAGGAAAACAATGACTGACAAACAGATAGCTGGGCAGGATTTTGACAAGCAAACCCCACAATATCATGGTGGTTTTCCTTTTTCTTCACAAAATGTACAAATGTCCTCAAAATGTGAGAAATGCTTTAAAAACACACACGACTTCTGCCTTTGTGGATGACAAAGCTTCAGTCGAGCCGTTAGAGAGAATGCTATCAGATAACCTTGTTAAGAACTTACCAGTGACCCGGGTCCACTGTTCCCCTGTGCATACACATTAAAAGTACAGTCATGTCTCAGGTTTATCGCATAGTACAGTGATTAAAGTAGAACAACTGACAAACAATAAGAAGACCTTCACACGGCTTCTGCTCAGCAGTTTAAAACAACTTAAGACAAACCCAGAGGACAGAAGACGTTAAAATAAAACTTAAAATAAAATAATAAAATAAAAACAAAACGCTCACTGTATTAGCATTATTCTCTTTGTTTGTTGGCTGAACAACCTTGAAGCAATGGATTTACACAGATTATCATTTAAATAAACAGGTGATTCACTTGAATAATAATTATTTAAAAGACATATTCTACTTTCCACAAATCCTTTGCCACAATAATCCCAGAGATTCTCGACACAGCAGTGCACTACAACTTTGATCAGTCAGTTGTACCATTCACATGACACATCATACATCTAATGTCCAGATACACGGACAAATCTAATCTCTTTTCAAGATGTGAACCACAACTTTGATCTGTGAAAATGTCCGTTATATTTACAGTAAGAAGGAACCATTAAGGCATTGTTCACACACTTGTGTACATTACAAAGCAAATAAGGATGTACATTCTGCAGATATGCAAATGTCTTTTCATACAACGTCGTAAGTCAAGTATTCAATGTAGGACAACAGAATTGGAACATAAATAATGAGGTAAGTACATAGAAAAAGGACACAAAAGATGCTAAAGTTGTATTAAGCTAACTGATATGCATTTCACATTATGAGCTTGAAGGGAAAGAAGACGATCGCGTGAGGATATATGGGAATATCTCAAATGGCACATAACATGTAGCAGCCTTTTATGACAAAACTTCTATAAGAAGAAAGCTAATGAGGGTAGCATGGCACATTCAGCTCGCTCAGAGGAAAAACAGCAGGACATGTGTTCATTTAAAGAAACCTGACTGGCAGCTAGAAATCAAGTGGAATTTGGCTTCTGGTTATTTCCTGTACTCTACAAACCCTCACTTTGTGTTCTGACTTTGCTATTCAGTCTCAAAATCCTGCAGTAGAAGAGGAAGAAAATTCAACGATTCTAACAAGTGATACATTCTTTATAAATCCAGCAGTGATAACGTACAAGTGTCATAAATAAAAGTCAGACACAGGCGTCAAAGTTCATTCAAGGTAAATGCTTGTCAAGGCAGAGAGAAATATAACGTACAGAACCCCCCAAAGAAGACAGAGAAACAGAAGTCTTTGTGAAGCATCCTGTTGTAGAAAATCCCCCCAGCATAGAAATGACTTTCTGAGGGAATCAACCAGCATTTAGTCTGCAGACAGCAGCACTGCAGATTTACAACTGGGAAGAGGACTTGTCACCAGTTTTATATTCTGTGTCCATCATTTGTTGGATGTTAACATGAAACATTTGTTGCATTGAATTGAAATCAGGTTCATTTCAGCGAGAACATTTAACCTGCAGGGAGAAAATGCAGGTTTGATTTGAGGGGGGGGGGGGGGGGGTTGAGCAGAGCTACAGGCAATACATGTTCACAACCTCTGTTTCCATCCACGTTTGGTTTTTTAAAACTTACTTTAAAAAGCTGAATTTAAAAATATATCTAACATGGTTCTTCATGTTCTTTTCAAGGGGTGACTTGTGTGTTTTAATTGTTTAAAAAAGAGTTATATGTGAGAACATTAAAACATAAACACAGTGACAATCCCTAACTGCTCCCCTGCTATTTGTGTAATGTGGGAGGGAACTCAAATACAGAAAGCATGTTCTGTAAACTTCCCCAATGTGGGATAAATAAAGGTTATTATCTTATCATCTTATTCGTCCCTGAGTGCAGGATGAATCATCTAATGGGTTAAAATGTTTTTGAGGGAACGGAAAACCCCAAAACATCACTAACATTAACTACTGAACCACGTATATGTCAGTGTTGAGCCTTTGTGTAGCCTTGAGGAGAAATCAGTAATAGACATGTATTAAAAAGTAACCTGAAACTGAATTAGCTTTCTTGGGAGCTTGAAGAATAACACGTACAGTTCATGTTGGATATATACTCACAAAGACCTGGCATAAGTGAACCAAGTGAAAACAAGCTACTTTTTTTTGGACAGGAACAAACATGGGGTGTCCTTAGATGTCCCAAGAGTTACATGACTAGATCATTACCACTCTAACGTTGTTGAGACAACAGCCTGCATTCATTTTAAAGCATGAAGCGTAAAACGGGAAAGACAGCACGCTTGATTCTGTTTGAGGGTAATAAAATCCACTTGCCGCCACCTTTAAGAGTAATTTGTTACCTTCAAACAGAGTCAAGTTAGCTGCTGTACATCGTGTTCAGTGTTTGTGCTAAGCTAAGCTAATCAGCTGCTGAATGCAGCAGTATGTGTACATTTAAAGGTCACATATTATACTCCTTTTCAACAAGTTCAAATAAGTCTCAGGGCTCCCAAAAAACATGTCTGTGAAGTTTCTTGCCACAAATTAAAAGAAAAGTTTGGTAGTACTTATCATTTATCTTTAAGTCAAATAAAATAAAACAATACTACCAAAACCAAGAGAGAGTTCTTCCAAACAATTATCAGTGTACACTGATGTCCATTATTCATCTGATGACGCAGAGCTCTATTGTTGTGTAATTAACAATTTAAAACAACATAAATGAGCCACATTGGATGACATCTTAACCTTAGCATGAACACTGTGGTCTGTTTTGACCCCTTCCCAATTGATCAATCACCCCTTTTCCACCATCATGAAACAAGGGGCTGGTTCTGGGCTTGTTCAGAGCTGGTTCAACTTGTGAAACCATCTAAAGAACCAGTGCATACGACTCTGATTTCCTGGCAGCAATTGTGCGCCGTCTTCAAGCACAGTAAAAACAACAACAACAACAACAACAACAACGGAGGACTGCAGCATCTTAGTTTCAAGTAGTGCTCCTGGCTTTGCAAAACTAAACTGGCATTCAAACCAGACAGGTCCAAATGATTTGTTCTGCTCGTCAGGATTGCTATGTACAACGATTATGTTGTGGATTAATTAGAAGTAATCTGCAGCTGAAAAAAGATCAACTAATGCACAATGTACCCCTCTTTGAGACACGTTTACTGACATTTCCTTGTAGTGCTGGGCTCTTTTTTTTGTTTCCTTTCTTGAAAATGAAAGCATACAACCAGACTTGGGAAGTTTACAGTTGTTGAAAGTTGGAGAAAATCCCTGTTGGTTTTGGTATTTTTGTTTACTTGAGAGTAAGATAAGTAAAATATAGCCATGTTTACTCTTTAAATCAACAATAAACCACATGAAGGAATAAGACTCGCTTCACCTCATAACTGTGAATAAGACCAAGTGGAAGATAATTAATCAGATAAATTCCTATGGGATTTTTTTAAACAGGCTTTTCTGGTTCACAGTATAGAGCGGTGCATAATGGCTCTGGGTAACAACTCAAAGGCTGCTTCGGCGTTTTAAGAATATTTTCCTATATTGTTTTGGTTCTGGAGGCCAACATTTAGATTTTTTCGGGAACAAGTTATGTTGATCAGAGATCTTCTAGAAACGGGTCGTGTCTTTGTTTTATTTTGAGGGAGTCAACATCACGCTCCTGTTTTAATAAGACATTTACTTCAAAAGACAGAACATAAGAACTATCAAAGCTGGTTTTATTCATTGTAGGAAACGACTGCATAAGTATGTTTTTTGTGCATGTGCAGAGTTGTATGGATTATAAACAAACACATTTTTACTCCATGGGGAGGGCTAAGGTAAGGGTCTGACCTCCGCATCTGGTGGGGGCTTCAAGGACACTTCAGCAGAGCACATTTTGCAGACAGCAGGTCTCATCAGACTGAGGGGGGAGGAGATGATCTTCCTCAACACTTTTAGCATGGCGTTGTCTCCCTCCCTGAGTCCCCCCCCTCGTCACTGAAGGCCCTGCTCAACCTGCACAGTCTGCTCTTCTCCTCCCTCCTCCCCTTGCCCCTGTGGCTTATTTCCCTTCTCGGCAGCTCCACAGTGAAGTGGTTGTCGCCGTCCTGTCCTTTCACAGCAGAAGAAGACGAGGGCTCGGAGGGTGAACTCACCTCCCACCCGTGGGTCAGAGGGTGGGAGACCTGCGAGCTGCTGGGAAACACAGAGGGGGAGATAGGGGACAAGGGCCCCAGTGGGGAGTAACGTCTCAGGGAAACACCCTTGAGGTTCACAGCAAGCTCTAGAACCAGTTTCCTAGATGCACGAGGGGGGCACGGGGGTACAGAGGCTTCCTGGGGAGTGAAAGGGGGTCCGCTATGGGATGAAGAGTCACTTTGAACAGGGGTGGGGGGCTCAGACTGTGGAGCCCCGTTGCTTTCCCTGCTAACAGGCGACATCTCCTCTGTCTCTGGACTGTCGACAGAGTGAAAGGAGAGAGGTGACGCCGGGCTCTCTGGCGAGCAGGAATGCAGGTCCAGCCCCGGCATTGTCCGTACGTCGACCTCATCCCCGGACCTGACTCCAGACCTGGAAGTGTCCCGGGGCCCCTGCACATTGACAGTATGGTAGCTGTGAAGCCCCAGTGTGATCTGCGTTGGTCCAGGGGTGTCGAGCAGGGGGGCGTTGCCTCTGAAACGCCCTCCGCTGTGGAACAGGCGATTCCAGAAATGCCCGAGACGCCGACGAGAGGAGGACGAGGTCGTGCGCCTTGTGGAGTGACGTCTGATCTGTCGACGCATCGCTAGCCGTAGGTTCTGTAAAACAGAGGCCTCGGGGACAGAGAAGAAGACAAGGAGACACTATGAATGTCTTTCTATCTTACCTTTTAAGTAAATCGTTTGTGTTTAGAGTCGTGACTCTGGTTGAATGGTCATCTGTTAAGGTCATATGTATTTACAAAATGAACATCATACTGTTGTAAGGTTTAAAAAAAGTTCACAAAGGTAATAAATCAAGGGAGTTTAAAACAAATCTGTTGTATAAATGCACTACCTGCGTGGGGTTGTATACAGGGAAATCCTCCACTGGGGGAATAAGACCCTGAGCAATGAGCTGTCCATATGAAGGGGGAGCCTCTCTCTGAACAAACTCAGCCTCCATGCGAGTCATCTGAGTCTCAAAAGCTCTGAGAAGGAGAAAGAGAGAGAGGCAAGGAGGGTGGACAGGCGGCAAGAGAGAGGAAAAGAGAAATACAAAGCAGTTTAGATAGACAGATGGGGCTTTCACACTTGCAGAAATCTCCTGAAAAACTCAAGATATTTCCCGGAGGAGCTGTAAATGTGAAAGCAAACAGCTGAGTTTAAGACTAACTAAGTTTACTAAAAATGTGCCTAGCCCACACTTATATATCCGTTATTTTCCATTTGACCGTCTTTACATCCTCTTACTCCCAAAACCCTTTTTTCTTGTCACTACCGTCCGTCTTTTCTGAGACACTGTAGAGCATACAAGAAATGGCATCCTGCCCAGAATCTCAACCCCTCTGGTCACCTCATGTCCATCTCCCACCAGCTGACACCTGTCCATCATCTTTCTCACCCATCCAACCCTAAAGTTGGCCCTCCTCTCTGCTTACCTTCCATCCCTCTCATGTCACTCACACAGCAACGTGATGCAGTAACAGACTGTGGGAGTTGATGTTCTTTGAAACCACATGCTGTATAAGATGAATCACTTTGATGCCCGGGACATACTGCATGCATGAGCAGCGTGTGACAGCTATCTCCTGTAACGTCTGTGGCTTCAGCTGCCAGGGTGCCCACACAGTTAAGACTGTCATCTGTTCTGCTGCAGAGCTGCTGCTGCTGCTTTCCCTTTACGAGGATTCTCTTTATTTTTGGTTAGACAGGTTAGACAAAGAAGACACAGTAGTCATATAGGAAGATTACTGCTTTTTGTGTTTTTGTCTATTTTGTGTGCAACAATACCACAATAACTTCTCCACAGTAACTTCAACTTTGAATCAGTTATTATCCTGAAGGCATTTAGATCTGCAGCACGACTGATACTTAAAAGACAATATCTGAAACACAAACACACAGCTCAAGTGATAAACAAAGATACTCAAACCACACTGAGCAAGAGGCTGAAACGGTCTAATCTAATCTAGGTATACAATCTAAAAACTGTCTTATCCTTTATACACATCAAAACCCCGGTACGCCTCATTGTTCTAGACATTCTGAAACGAGAGGGAAGGAGATTTACTGAAAGTGGGTGGTGAGGACATTTAAGGATTTACTGAGCTGTACTAATAACATGCTTTACAAGCTGGTATGTATGTAGTCTCAGTGACATCACCAATTGGTTTCCAAATCCCAGAAATAATAGGTGGAAAATCCTAATTTTTCTTCCTATTGTTTTGGGCTACAACAAGGACTGCTGCTTGAATTGGCACCTAAATTAGAAGAAAAAGATTTCGCTACATACACAAGCTGCTCAGGCGTGAAGAGTGGACCAGGTTAACTTTAATAGAACAAAGTGAAACAGAAACACAATAACATATGTAGTGTAAGAATAGGGGGACAAGTAAAAGAGGCTTCATAAAGAAAAAAGACTGAAGTTATATCCTCACCTGTACTCTCTGTTCCTGAGCGAGTGGAGTTTGAGGGCACAGCCGAGGGCGATGACCAGCAGGAGGCTGCAGACCAGACTGCCAATCAGAGCGGCCGTGATCACTTTCCTGGGCACTGCCGCCATGCAGTCCCTCTCGTCGCTCCCATCCAAGCAGTCCTCCTGCCCGTCGCAGCGCCACGTCTCAAAGATACACAGGTTCGTCCCGCAATGGAAGTTTCCGGGTTGGCAGTCGTAGCAGTTCATCTCGTCCGACCCGTCCGGACATCTCTTCTGGTTGTTGCAGCGCTCGGAGGCCGGGTAGCACACTCCAGTGCTACCCTCGCAGGGGAACTCCCCGTCTGGGCACGTCGGGCAGGCCTCCTCGTCGCGGCCTGACGGGCAGTGCCAGTAGCCGTCGCAGCGTTGCCGTTCAGAGTAGCAGCCCTGATCACTGCCACAGGGACGCTCGCCAGGAAAACAGTAACCTTTGACCTTGGAGAAAGGAGACGTTCTTTATTATCTGGACACAAAGGGATTTTTTAACTTCTCTTGTGTTGCACCAAGAGATCAATTAATCTACCACACCAATGAGAAGGAGTTAGAGAAGATAGAAATAATGAGTATTGAGAGGAAGAAACTTTAATTGTGATGTTAAAACCGTGGTACAGTTTTCAGATATCTGCACTCTGTTAAACAATGTTTTACTTTTATTCTCTACTTTCTAGCACACATGTTGAGTGTCCGCTCCTAACATCGTCATCACAGCCTCTTTACTTTAGCTGAAACACAGAATCTCCACCTAACTTTCAATCAATCTATAGACAAAGCGGTGGAGTTGAGGCAGACTTTTAGACTCCTACTGTCTCGAGTGTCTTGGGATAACATTTGTTATGAGTTGGTGCTTTACAAATAAAGATTGATTGATTGATTGATTGATTGATTGATTGATTGATTGATTGATAGTAAACACGTCCCCTCCAAAAAGAAACGACTGGTGTATGCTTTGTCCAAAAAAAACCTGAAGCAATATGGATGAAAGTGACACTGCCAACATTGCAGAAACTTTAGAGCACATTCACAGGAGCAGCTCATCCCCCCAATTCAACTGATCCTCACACTGAAGCAAAGTAAGTGTTCAGTGATTTACACATTATTCTGTTGTTTTACTTGAAGATAGAATTAATAACGTTAAATATTCTCTCGCTTTCCACAGAGACAGTTGGTAGAGATGTCCATCAGAGAGCTACTTTTTATTTGTCCTCCTTTCAGAGCCTGAACTTTTTCACGTTTACTTCAGTAAATAAGTCGAGTTTGTGGTTTTACTTTGAGTCTTTTGTACTCAAGTATCTGTGCTTCTAAAGAATGTGTGTGTATTTGTAAGCTCTAGTTGAAAGCTCAAATCTGTGTGAGGCGATTAAGATGAATTAAATCTAAAAATAGAGGAACTTTTTTTTTTGATCTAAAACAGGATGTGATATACTTAGTGTGCTGTACCTGGTATGTGGCATTGAATCCATGTCCTGGGCTGTGAGGCTGGGCCATGTACAGAACACTCATCTGTCCCCGACTGGACTCCAGCAGAGCCGGACGCCTGTTGTTATGATACGACAACACCTGTAGGAGGTGCTCCGCCCGCTGCAGGAGGCCATCGTAGACATGCAGCGAGTCTTTGGGGCCCAGCTGCAGGTCCAGCTGCAGCACTATGGGCTTAGGGTCCTGTGTGTCCAGCAACCAGGAACACCTCAGCTCCACCACAGCACTCCTGTTGGCGCGGAAAAAATCCGGGGAGGCAAAGGAGCCGTAGAAGTTCCCCAGACGTTTCCCGCAGGTAGTGTCGGGGCAGCCCAGCTCGTCTGTGCCGTCGTGACAGTCTCTGGCTCCGTTGCAGCGCAGAGAAGCCGGCAGACAGCGGGTGGACTGAGCCTGCGTGCACTGGACCGAGCCGTAGGGACAGAGGCCGGGCTGGGCTTCGGTGGGGGGAGCGGAGCAGCTGCGTTCATCGGTGCCGTCGCCGCATTCGTCCTGACCGTTGCACTTCCAGGAGCGAGGGAGGCACTTTCCATTCCCACAGAGGAATTCATCGGACTGACAGCTGCTCTGACCCAGGTGACCTGCAGACGAGAGAAAGTGACAGACTCCAACACCAGCAGCTACTAACACTTAGCACAAAGATTCACACTCAACTAAGGAAGACATCTTTACAGGTAGCTGAAAGAAACCTAAAATACATTTGAAGTCAGGATGGAAAAACAAGCAATGTTATGCAATATTTCCCAAATATATACAGTATCACCAAAATTTAAATCCTAGGGGCCGAATCCAGCCCTTTAATCATTTATGAAAAGTAATACAAATTATATAAGAGCAAGAGAAGACGTTACCTGTCACACACACAGCCGTAAAGGGTTCATGCTCATTCCTTTGTCACTCCAGTGTTTGTGGTTATAAAAAGACCATCATTTAATTAGCAGGCTGTTTTTGCCCTTTTGTTAGTAACGTCTATTGTTAAGCACAGAAATGCACATTTTATTTGTAAACCCAGGCTGTTTGAGCTGAGAGGATTTCACAGAGCCAAACTGAATAAATTACTGTGTGGATGTTTTTTAACACAAGAAGAAGATATAAACGTCGATTGCTAACACATTTAAAATTCTCATATTCAAAGGTCAAACACAGGAAATGTGAATGAGCAGCTCTTTGACGTTCGACGATTTCTCAAATCTTTACCTTGAAAAAAAGGTTGTATAGTAAGCCTGGTGATCAAAGTGAGTGGACTGTATACAGACAGGGTTCACTGTCTTATGTGTTTACTTCAGAGCAGCCGGGCAGCCTATCCTCACTTTCTAATTGTCAATATAAAAGTCATAAAAAGTGATTATCAGTTATAGTACACAGGGGATAAAGCCTAGAAATTAAAAAAGTCATAACCTGATATTAAAACAATAAAAATTCTTGTCTTTCTCTCCTGAAGCTTTGAGTGTGACCTCTAAGGTGAAGTCATGTTTCCTCACAAAGTACCCCGAGCTTTTAGAGCCAGGAACTGCAAACTCCTCTCATCACGTTCACTCAATACCAGTGAGAATTAGAAAAAGTGAATCTGCTGATGAATAAAAAAAGATATTGCAACCATGACACCTCATAAAGCTACACTTAATCATTGTGTGACGCTATTTCATGTTAGTACACGCTGTCCTCTCTCAGGAGGACGTGGACCTTTTCCCTCAGTCCATCTGTCACACACTTTCTTCTCAGACTTCTCCGTCGCCTCAAAGCTCTGTATACAGATACAAAAAAAAAAAAACCTGTTTTGGAGCACTGGTTTAGCTCAGTGCTTAAATCCTACGTCACATGTACGGAGGCTACAGCCTTCAAAGAGGCAGTCCCTTGTTCAACTTTAATTTAACACATGTCATCTCCCACTCTGTCTTCCCTGTTTTAACTTTACCTACTGTACTGTTCCTCTCAAGAGAGAGCACAAAAAACCCAACATATAACCTTAAAAACACCACTGGTTCTGGCTGCAGATTTTTTTTTTTTTTTTTACTTTGCCTGAAATTAATGTGCTGCGATACAGTGCATGCCCCATCACCAAAGTTCTTGTACTTTTGGGAAGTTCTTATTTGAGCTGCAACTTTTCAGGTAACATAAAATGCCCCGGAACATGATTTAGTCCCTGCTTTCTGCAGTTTAAAAGGACTGACTTCCCCTCTGGTTCCTATTCCCTATTACAGAGGTCCTACTATGAAAACACAGCAACCAGCGGGGATGGCTAACGGTGATACTCTGCAAAAAGCCTGAAGTCACAACATGCTCCTCCTTGAGCTCCTAAGGGCCTTAAATAAAGCTCATATTCTCCCCTTCTGGCTAAAGAGGTGAGAGAGCAACCAAAGTATCAATAAAAGCCATCACACTGAAAGCTTTGGTAAATTATGCTTCAGCTTTACTAAAAATAACTTTTAATTGTTTATTTATGACACATTCTAAACCTGCATATTTTGATGATTCAGCTGAAGGATTGGTCTGACCTCTGACCCCTGACCTCTGTGGTCCAGCTCACCTCTGATGTAGGAGAGTCGGAAGCCCTGAGCCTGCCCGGAGCCGTTAGCCTGCGAGTGGAAATAGAGCCACACACGCCCCCTGGTGGAGATGAAGGGCGGGGGTAGCGTGGAGCCACACAGCCTGGAGTCCCCGTTCAAGGTTGGAGTCAGCAGCAGACAGTCTCCCAAACAGTTCCCAGACTCCGCCACGTCGAAGTTACGAAAACTAAAACACGACATGGATTACGTCAGGCGCTTTTATTAGCTGGAACACATCGCCTGTAATCTGTACGCGTGAGGAGGGGTCCTACCTGATGGTGATGACCTCTCCCTGACCTCCCTGGATGTGCCAGCTGCAGTTCACTCCAGGAGGGTAGTTGAGAGGCCAGGAGGGACTGTAGATGACACCTCTCCGCTCTGTGTGGACCTCCATCCGCTCACTGCAGCCTGCTGGGGGAACAAACACAGATTCACACGTTGGTGTTGTCGGTCACACAGGCCCTCCTGAACATGCCCCTAAAATGTTCCTGATTTGATTATTCCACATCTCCCTCGCAGCGTGAAGTTTTCCTGGTCTTGAGAGCGAGAGGGGGTCTCAGCAGGTGAGCCATGACATAAAAAAAGACGCTGCCAAGTGGGCGGACAAAGCCACAGTCAGACACTGTCAGTCCCTTAAAGTCGAGTTTATTTGACTAGTGTGAGTGCCCTGATCCCTACTCGAGCACGGTACACTTCCTTGGACCTGGCACGCTTGGAAGAGGTGTGCTTTGTAGAGTTCAGACACAAGAACACACCCGAAATGTGGACAGCCTTCTTTATCTTTTAGTTTTTCAGTTTAGTTTAGTTGCACATTTTTTGACAGAAGAGTCAAACAGAAAATTAAAACAAATTAAAAATAAAACCCATGTGCAGGTGAGGTAGAAACCCATGAGGGCTTATCTCAAAACCTCACCTTGAGAGATTAAACAAAGTTAAAAGAAAATACAGTAAAAACAACAAAGTAAGAATATTTACTATCACAAATAAAATGTAGCCAATTGAAAATGACATACAAACATTGAAAATATAAAAATAGAGCAGAACAGGACATACAGTATGAAGGCAATATAACAAAATCAGGACAATTCACTATTCACTACAAATCTTTCTGACATCGAGAAATGTGTAATGTATCTTACTGTGATGACTTGTTGTTCCCCAATGTGCGGACGCGGACTTGACCGTGTGTCCCCTTTTTTTTAATTTTCTGAGTCCGCCGGTTTTGTACACTAAGCACCCTTCATGATCACGTAAAGCCATGCCTGTGTTTTAATGCGACGTTATGTAGGTTAGTCCTGCCTCTGTATCAATGCTATGTGTAACTGGGCTTATTTGCATTATCAATAAATGAGCGGAGAAGAACATACAGGTGAGCAGAGAAGTGTAAGAAGCTGATATTATATGTGCATGAACATCGCACTGGTCATGTGACATCAACATCAATTGGTGGTTACTTTTCCTAACTTACTGTATACCTGCTGTGTTTTCACATTGGCTTACCCTGACCTCACACATACATTCAACTAGGGGTCTGGAAGGAAAAGTTTTGGGTAAAGTTGGGTTTCAAAAATGTGTCTGTTTGCGTTCACACACGTAGCTCATCCCGATATATTTCAGGACATTTTCAGGAATGTGAAAACAAATTTTACTGTGTAGTGGCAGCACTGACACATATTCCAGTTTTATTAGCCTTTGGACTAGGATGACTCCACAACAGTGTAAAACTATTTGATCCAGATCTTTTGTCTTTGATCAGCTGCCTGTCAGAGGAGCTCTGTGCTGATCACATGGTGGTTTATAAACAGAAGCAGCAGCAGTCACACCTGGAGCCAAGGCAACAACATCACCTTTTACTCCTGGGAACAACACAAAGTGTGAGATGAAAAGTGAGACGAAAAGCACCAACAATATCACACAGACCTCGAGAAAGAGCAGGTGATGAATCCTTTAGCTCAGATAACGCAAGATAACGCTTTGTCTCACAGCTGTTTGTAAAAAAACAGAGAAGTTCAGATGGAACGATTTTATTTTTTCTAACATCAAGAACAAGGCGTGGGAGAAAATCAGAGATGCATCATAGTGTTGTTATATTTAGTGTGGTAGCGTTGTTTCGATACACAGATGTCAACCGATAATAACTGATTGACCTTTGACAGTTTTCTTTGATTTGCTGATTTGTCTCTGCTGTATAAATTAATTCATTTTCAGGCACCACCACCATCAATGCTAAAGGGAGAGCAGGGCATCAGCAAGAGGTGATTGTTCAGCTATACTTAAGAAAGGTGCTTTGGAATAATCAGCTTTTTCAATGAGAGCCACAGAAAAGTGGAACTCGAGGCTGCACGGGAAATGTGGGCAAGAGAGCGTGCGGGATGACATGCACCAAAGAGCACCAGGACCGTGAGCTGAACCTAAAACCATCTTAAAGAGAACTTTCTGTAGTTTTACAATGTTGCCAACTCAATGTGATATACTGTTTATGAAATGTTTACATTATTTTTTTATTGTTTGTATTGTAATCTATGTTTTTTCAGACCACATATTTGAACTGGCTTTAAAGTGAACTCTGTTCATATGATAGTCAAAACAAAGGAGGAAACATTTTTATGTAGTTTTACATCAAAACATTTTCCTTGGGAGAGGTATCGCCTAGCACAGCCTTTCCCAAACTTAAAACTGCCGCGCCCCACTTTGATATACAAAATTCCTCTCTCTTCAGCCGTCCTATCCAATAAAGGCAAAAACCGATTAATGAGAAACCGATAATATCGGACGATATTAGCATATCAAGTGACTATCGTATCAGCTACTTTTATTGCAGATATTAAATGATCACTCTCCAGAGTGTCAAGCAGTGATGTTCATACATGCACAGTTACTTTTCAGTTGAGTGACCATCTTACATGTGTTACATGTAACATGATGATAACTGCATATGATGGATCAACACAATAAATGTGTATATCTATATCTATCTCTACAGATCCGAGATAGATCTAAAAAAAAAAAGATATCGGCCAATATATCGGTCTCAGACTTTTTTCTCTCCCTCATATTAATATTGGTATCCGACCCAAAAATCCCATATAAGTCGGGCACTACAATTTTTTTTTTTATAAATGTTGCTTAGTAACAGATGTTGAGAGGGCATCTTTTGGGAACATACTTTACAGCTGATGAAATGGGGGCTCAAGTGATATCCAAACCCTAAAGAGAACAAAAACATAAAGCGACCAAGTTCAATATTAATCACAGCTGCAGCTTCCAGCCGCAGTAGAAATGAAACAGGAACACGAAGACGCTGTGTAACAAGCCTTTAAAATAAACACAACCACAGAGATAACACATAAACTGAACGGCTTTTAAATGATCGTCCAACAACATGGACACACAGCAGAGTCGACTCAGATCTGCTGAGTGTGTGTGTTTGTTTGGAGCTGTCTTGATGAATCAGTAAAGTCAGCAGCAGAGAGAAACAAGGGGGGGATCATTGAGAGCTCAGAGATGATATGGACTACATGGACGTGATACTGGACTACGTTTCTATGAAGTGGAAAGAAGAGTTGATTTTTTTATTTAGAATCTTAAAGTTTAAATGTGCTTTACATTGATAGGTTATAAAACAGCATGTCGTCTTTTCAAACCTACTTTGCTTCTCAAAAGTTTGAACTCAGATCACAGCTACGGAAGCCCATAGCAGACATGCATCCATACATCTTATTAAGAGCAATTTCCCATCATAACAGCTTACTTCAGGTTGTTTTTTCCACATGTTGACTTATCATTCTCCTTATCAAATTTCGCTTTTTTTTTTTCTTCAGATAACTGGATAATTATCCGGCGATCTAAAACAGATCATAAAGATCAACACAGAACAGGAAGGTGACTGTGATCAGCCACTCTTTATGAGGTGAGCTTGCCCTATTTCTTTGTTTGTTTTGTTCTTCTGTAACTCTGGGGATATGAGATACGTAAGCCAAGATCTCAAGAGAGCAAGTGGAGATAACACAGAGTAAATAAAATGTATGGATGCAGCATGTCCTCTCAGTGTTTATTTACACAGCAACAGTAAACTAAGGAGAAAAAAAAAAATCACTTGTAGTAGCCTCAGCAGTGGAGGCGTGTGTGTGTGTGTGTGTGTGTGTGTGTGTGTGTGTGTGTGTGTGTCCATTGCGTTTTGTTTTGAGTGTGAGGAGATGCCAGGTTGAACAAGTACTGACAAGTTTTTTTGGGAGAGTGTGTGTAAGGATGTGTGTGATAAATTGTTCTGAAAGTCTCATCTCTCCTTCTCTCTGACACACACACACACACACACACACACACACACACACACACACACACACACACACACACACACACACACACACACACACACACACACACACACACACACACACACACACACACACACACACAGCGAGTTGGTTTGCAGTCTTCTTTGCTTTCATGCCAATATAAGTGCAGGATATGATAATAGAGAGCGAGGGGGGGGAGGGGAGGGGAGGGGAGGGATTGACTGTCTGCAGAGCAGCAGTGATGTAATGCTGATAGCAGCATCACATTTGTGAAAGAGCATCCATGTTTCCACACTAACCCTGATCGTTTACCCCCCCACAGATCGATACCTCCCGCAGGTTTCTGCAGCACCAGAGCCTCATCATATGTCCCTCTCGGATCACAACAAGAAAACAGAGTGTCTTCACCAATCACATCACTTGACACAGAGTGACACCGGGGGAGACGTCCACTGCTGTTTGGGTGTGAACATCATGTTTTATAGAAGATCTCTGCACGGATTGTGAAGATATGTGCACAGGCAATAAAGTACATGTAAACATCAGAGCGGTGTGTGGATGCATTGTTGTGTCCTCTCACCTGCACAGAGCAGAGCAGAGCGGATCCACAGCACCCCGAGCAGCAGCAGATCCGTCGGTCCCATGGCTCCAACAGGGACTTCTTCTGCTATGATCTCGGACTCGATCTCTGCGGTTTGTTCGACATCTGAGTCCTCCAGAGAGGCTCCCGTGTCTGTTTTCAGCTCAGGTCCCCCCCGTGGAAAAGCATTGTGTCCTTTAAAAGCGAGAAAATACAGTCGAGCTAAAGGAAGCAAAACCAACACGTTCCGGTCAGTGCCTTCACAATAAAAGCAGGATTCAATGAACAAATGAGGTAACTTTAGAGAGAGAGAGAGAGAGAGATAGATTCAACTTTATTGTCATTACACATATACAAGTATAGAGTAACGAAATGAGGTTTGGCATCTCACCAGAAGTGCAATAAGCAGAAAGTGCAAGAGTCTGTGCTATGTACAGTAATTACAAAATTTACAGATGTAGACTAAAAAAAGTGAATTATTGGGTATATATGGATGGCTGGATTAATGGGATGCTGTAAATATAAATAAATGCTATAAATATAAGCATAAGAATATATAAGTATATTTTAGGATTATAATATACAGATTAAGGTGCAGTGAGTATGCTATACTAGATTACAGATAATATACAGAATTATCAGAATTTAAAAGCGTCTGTAACCCCAAAGCAACTTTCATTCATGAAAACATGTCTGTTTAAGTCAGTTTTTACTACTCTGTAATGAGGTTAACATTTGTTTTTGCCCTCAGAAGCTGTTTGAAAACAGCATGCGGCCCCTTTTTGGAAGTGAAGTGAATCTTTGTGTAAAATGTAAAGTTTTATTAAACATTTATTTGTTTTTCATTCGTATAGAGAGTCATATGAAACAAGTAAACCAATGGCACACACTAGCGTTTTTATTGCTGAAGCTAATTTGAAATGTGCGTCGCTTGATGTGACCCTCAACAACAGATACACAGGAAACAGTACCAAACAAGATCAACGATAAAATAGTCAGACCAATACAGGACACAAAATATCACAAAACATGAGTAAAACATGAAGCACAGGATCATGCATGACTACAAGTCGAATGAGTCTTCTTTAAAAAACGGTTTCAGATTGAGTTTAAGATGACCCCAGACCAGATCCAGTTTCATCTCTGCAGGTCTTCCACATTTTGATCCCCTGAACAGAATAAGCTGTTTGTCCCGAGTGAACATTTTATGAAACGTCACCTTACAGTCTCCATTAGATGCTTCACATGTTACAGAGCCTGCTACTGTGTGGAAACACATGGTCAATGAGCACATGAAGAGCCTGACCATTAAGAGCACATCAAATAAGAACTCACCATAATCAAGTTTGTAAGAGCTTTAAAATGATGACCTTCTCGGCTTCCTGTGCAACATAACATTTGATTTGTTCTGTTGTTTATCATCATCAGGGGCTTGATTGTTGTAGGTGCTGCTTGTGACCTGGACGTTACATAACACTGTAGATTAAATGCATTTCCAGCTTTAAATGTTAAACAGTCTCTATTATGTCAAAATGCAAGTTTGCTTTTGAAATCCTGCTCACCATTTTCATGTTCTTCTCAAATTGAAGGTGGGAATCTAATGAAGATTCTAAAAGCTCTGATCTTTTACGAGAATGATTTCTGCTCAAGTTAAATCTTTTCCATAAACAAAAGCTGAAGTCAATGTGCCTGTTTCATTGTCTAACTTGGTGTGTTTGAGAAGGCCCCTCTTCTCTTCTCTCAACACTGGAACTTCCATTCAGCACTCTTATTTATGGGGTTTGTACGGTAGTTATTTCATAACATAACACCAGATGCTGAAACTCACCACAGGCCAAGTGAAATATGTTTAACTTTAGGAGGAGATCCTTTCTTTTGTTTCCTTGCACACTACAGACAGCTGCTTGTACTCAACAACGTTTAATACTTCTATAAAGGAACACATGGATGTTCTGTTTTGTATTGCAATGATGTTTTTATGTAGGAATATTTACCTCAGGGTTTGAAAACAACACATGAGCTAATTCTTTCCCAAGACTGTCACTCTGATATTAATATACTTACCTGTCACAGAGTGTCAGAAACAGTGCAACATGTGCAATGGCCCTGTGGCATAAACATCCTTGATACTTGTACGTAAAGTATTCTCATTGTTTAGATTAGTCTTTTCATTCTTTTAAATTTAACCACATTCAACACAAATCATTGTAGCTCTCTGCACAATATACTATATTGACCTGTCTCATGTAGAGTATATAGCTTAGATCAAAATACCTGTAGAATACATGGCATCATATAAGATTCAGCAGTCTTTGCACTCTTTTTTGCACTGTAAATTGTCTTACTGAATAGTATCTGTTTCTTTTATCATTTCACTTTAATGTTTTTATCTGCTTATGCATAATAGACCTACTAAGTACGCTACACTTATATTTCTTGTTGCCTACCTGTCAAAACAAAAACTGAAAATTTGAATGTGAAGAGCTACAATAAAATAATAAGGCAGGGATGACACAGTATAATGTCTTTAAATCCCTTCTTAAAACATATGTCGTCTTCTTAATGTCTTCTCTTACTGGTTTTACTATTTTTATCTTCTTTTACTTCTTACTGTCCTTTTATTGATGGTCTTATCTTAACTCTTATATTTTAACTTGGTCATTTCTTATCTTACTTTGTCTATTTATGTTTTATATTTATATATACTTTTTATTATTATTAATATTATAGTTTTTTTTTTATCCTTTAATCACTTGTTTCTATTTCTTTTCCTGCTCTTACCTTCTTATTGCTGTTCTCTTTTGATTTGCTTTTAGCTCTTTTAGTTTCTTACACATTTTTAAATCTTTGGTCCTCTTGGTCTCAGCTTTTGTTGTTGGGTTCTTGTGATGGTTCTTATGATGGTTCTTATGATGGTTCTTGTGATGGTTCTTATGATGGTTCTTGTGATGGTTCTTATGATGGTTCTTGTGATGGTCTTATGATGGTTCTTGTGATGGTTCTTATAATGGTTCTTGTGATGGTTCTTGTGATGGTTCTTGTGATGGTTCTTATAATGGTTCTTGTGATGGTTCTTATGATGGTTCTTGTGATGGTTCTTCTGATGGTTCTTATGATGGTTCTTGTGATGGTTCTTCTGATGGTTCTTATAATGGTTCTTATAATGGTTCTTGTGATGGTTCTTATAATGGTTCTTGTGATGGTTCTTATGATGGTTTTTGTGATGGTTCTTCTGATGGTTCTTCTGATGGTTCTTATGATGGTTCTTGTGATGGTTCTTATAATGGTTCTTGTGATGGTCAGGTTATATATGTCTGGTTGTGTATCGTGCACTTTGGGTTCTTTTCTGTTGAACTGTATTTAATTATTTTTAGTATTTTACATTTGTTTTGTTCTTACTATTGTTTCTGTTCTTCTGTGTTTGGTTTAATTTGTTTTTGTTTTTACTGTTTGTCAAAGCACTTTGTAAACCTGTGTTTATAAAAGGTGCTATATAAATAAAGTTGTCTTTGGCGCTGGATCTTAAATCACTGGTGCAGGGTATAATGGGGGTGTCAGCCTATGTGAAAACATTGTGTTGTTCAGATGTTATTTTGAAAAGGAAACCACCAAACCTCCGCTTATTTAGGGCCCGCTCTGTGTCCAGCTTGACGTATCTAGCAGGACAAAGTAGACCACATATTTATTTTTGTTTAAGGGCCCTTTCTCCTCCTCTACGCGGAATAAATGTTACAAACAGTTTGGTGGATACTGCAGACATCGTCTTGAAGTTTACAATACACGGTAATCCTCGTTACATTGTTGAAATGAATGAGTACATCCACGACACGGTTGCTTCATGATTCTCTCTACCCGATCCCTCCATTGTAGTCTGAAGGACTGTGTGATCAGTAGACGGTGTCTGTACCTCCCCCGTGTGGTCGGATGCGTGAACTGCACATCCTCTGACAGATAATATAAGGTGCATTTTTATGTTTGAATGTTTTAAAAGGTTACAGAACATGATTTTAGAGGGAGCAAAAATAAAAGAATGAATGATAAACATATAGAGAGACTCGCAGGATAAATAATTCAGTCTCACACAACATATAACAACTATTAAGGAGCAGATATGAAAAGGCACCGCTGGGATTCGAACCCAGGATCTCCTGTTTACTAGACAGGCGCTTTAACCAACTAAGCCACGGCGCCGATGAGATGACCCACCGACAGAGGGCTTCATGAACATATTCAGAGTGACGAGTCAAAATGAATATTTCCGGTTCCTCAGGCAGAAACGAAAGCACATGTACAATGAAAAAGGATGATGGAAACGTGCCAGACGCGCTTTCATACGGAAATAATTTATTACTAATAATAATACGGATGATAATAATAATAATAATTTAAAATATGACCTGAATTAATGTCGGGGAGTCATGTTGTAGAAGGATGCAGTGATGTGACAAAGACAATTATTTCCTCTAAATAAGAGCTATTTTGTATGAGGGACAAAAAATGACTAAAGTATAAATAAATAAAAGTTGGGATAAATGCATACAATAATGTATAAATAAATAAATAATTAAAGAAATGCATCAATAAATATATACAAGATTTTAATTAAATGCTGTAAACCTCACCCTCTGCTTATCAATGTACTCTTTTCTTTAGGTTTGTGGAAAAAAAAGAGGGTTAGCTGCCAACCTGCCTGGGGGAGTTGTTAGACTTTAGGGAAATAAAAGATGAAAAAAAAACTGTTGTTTTTACCTTAATGTAATGCAAAACCTAGACACGAGTTCTAATTCAATTATAAGTATTAAAATAGGCACAAGGAAAAAAAAAACTGCGATAGAGAATTTTTTGTTCATGAACCCTCTCCAAATAACTGACTTCAACACTAGCCACCACAGATCTGTGCGTTTCTGCAAGTCTTTGCATTAACTCAGCATCCGATCTGGACAGTGTGATCATCTCTTTCAGTTTTCAGGGATGACTGAATGATGGAAACTTGTTAGGAGGGACATATCTAAAATGAGCATCCAGGTACTTTGGTGAGGGGGGGATTTGTGATCATCAGTTATGAGTGTGAATAGAGGCCAGACCAACTACCCAATACCCCATAATGTAAAAGCACTTTGTGATACATTGTTGTATTAAAAGTGCTATAGAAATAAAGTTTGCTAGAATTACATTTATTCACCCAGCCTCCATAGTAGAGGAATGCATGATTTTCT